ATCGGCCGTGTTGAGGGCCGTCACATAATACATGGCTAAATTCTCGCTCGTGCATTGGTATTCCCCAGTCAGTTGGTTAATTACCAGCTGAGAGTCGCCGTAGACCAAAACACGGGTTGCCTTCATTTCCTTCAAAATCTCGAGACCAATGATGAGTGCTTCGTATTCGGCCTGATTATTGGTGCATTTGAAATCGAGTTGGAATGCGAACTGCCATTTTTGCCCTTGAGGGGATTCGATCACGACTCCGGCCCCTGACCTGGCCTCGGTACTGGAGCCGTCGAAGTGCATGGTCCAGTAATTCTTCTCCATGCGGGCCATGCCGATCTCGACCTCCAACTCCTCCTCTTGCCCCTGGGCGGCCAATGCCTGACCCTTGACCGATTTCTGAGCTACGTATTGAAAGGTAAATTCGGACAATGCCATCGTCCATTTCCCAATTCGGCCGCGTATGATCGGCCGAGTAAGCATATATTTGATGAGATCGGTCCTGGAGATGATTTGAACGACCGAAGGAAGCATATAATGCCGCAGCTTGGTGGCCGCGAAATAAAGCGCTAGGCACAATTTCTCTATCGGTGAATAGTTTAGTTCGGCCGTGTTCAGGGTGCGGCTTAGATAATGCACCGCTTCTTCTCACCCAGACTCGTTGTTCTGAGCCAACAGACAGCCGATAGAGCCCTCTGAAGCCGAAATGTAAAGCCTCAAGGGTTTCCCTCTTTTTGGCGGCATAAGGACCGGTGGTTGGGACAAATATTTCTTGATGTCGTCAAGGGCCGCTTGATGCTCTATCCCCCATACGAACGGTTCTGTGTCTTTCAGTTTGAGCAAGGGAGACAACGGCCGGATTTTCCCCGCCAGATTGGATATGAAACGCCGTAAAAAGTTCACCTTACCGAGGAAGGACTGGAGCTCCTTCTTAGTCCTTGGCGGAGGGGCCGCCATAATGGCCGTAGCCTTATTTTTATCTACCTCGATTCCTCGTTGGTGAACCAAGAAATCGAGGAAATTCCCGGCGGTGACGCCGAAAGCACATTTCTTTGGGTTCATTTTTAGGCCATGTGCTCGCATTCGGTCAAAAGCCTGTCGGAGATGTTCCACGTGGTCGGCCCTGGATGGGGACTTCACAACTACGTTGTCGATGTAGACTTCGACGGTACGGCCAATAAGGTCGTGGAAAATCAAGTTCATAGCTCGCTGGTACGTTGTGCGGCATTCTTTAGGCCGAACGGCATGACTACCCATTCATAGGTTCCAATTGCTCCTGGACACCTAAACGTCGTTTTGTGGACATCCTCCTCGGCCACGAAAATCTGGTTGTAACCCGCATGGCCATCCATGAAAGATAAGAGTTCGTGCTTTGCGGCTCCGTCCACCAGGAGGTCTGACATAGGCATGGGGTATTCGTCTTTGGGGGTTGCGAGGTTCAGATTTCGGTAATCGGTGCAAACCCTTAAAGCCCCAGTCCTCTTCAAAACTGGCACAATGTTGGCCAGCCACTCAACGTACCGAGCCGTCCGGATGAAGCCGGCTTTAAGGAGCCGTTCAATTTCCTCCTTGACCCTGAGCTGAACCCATCCTTGATTCTTAATTCGAGTTCGACCAAACTTCTCGGCAATCCAAGCATCTCGTGATAATCCCAGGCAAAACAATCTTTATATTCATGGAGCAGGCCGATGATCTCGGCCGCTAACTTAGGATCCAAAAGATCGCTTACAAAAAGAGGCCGTGGTTCGGCCTCCGACCCTACATTTATTTCTAACAAAGGATCCTGGACTTCAGGGTAGTCATCCTCCATCTCGGCGGGCGCCATTTCCAGGTCGTCCAAAGTTAGAGCGTCCGTCTCGTCTGATTCGTGGAGGAATTCGATCAGGTTGATTGGTGAGTTTGGTCGTAAAGATTCCTCCGCCCAATGTTCCAGCAGCCTTTCTAGCAAGTCCTTCAAGGCCGATGCCCCTTCTTCTTTAGTGGCCTTGTCCGTCATCTAAAGGCTGGTGAGGTCGATCAATACTTCGCGCGCCGAATCCTGTCGGATATTCTCGGCGCCTAATTCCAGTACTTTCTGGGCCGTTGTTCTGGTTGGTCGGCCGTTTGCATCGTGGCTGGTGAGAACAACCCATCCAACGTCGTCGTCGTAAATCCGAGCTTGTACGGCATTGGCCTCGAAAGGTTTTTCGTCGGCCGGGTGTATAGACACCTTCTGGCCGTCCCAAAAGAATAACAATTGGAAGAGGGAAGATGGTATACACCCAGATTGGTGGATCCAATCACGGCCGAGCAATATGTTGTAGTCGACGCTTGATTCGACCACGTAGAAGGCCGCAACCCTTGTCTGGTCGGCCGAGCAATAAATTGGACATTTCATGTTCTACGGCAGTTCGTTCCTAATTGAAGTGGTTGTTGTATTCCGTACTTCTAGCGATTGGATTTCACTGAAAACACACCAAATGACTCCTCCCACCATATTATGGTGTTGCCCAAGTTTTGGGCTCAATCCGAAATAAGTAGGTGTAAGAAATTGGACAATTCTAGTTCAAAGGCAACTCGTTCCAAATTGGAGTGGTTGGTGTATTCCATACTTCTAGCGATTGGATTTCACTCAAAACGCACCAAATGACTCCTCCCACCAAATTAAGGCGTTGCCCAAGTTTTTGGCTCGATCCGAAATCAATAGGTGTAAGAAATTGGACAATTCAGGTTCAAAGGCAGTTTGTTCCAAATTGGAGTGATTGGGGTAATTCATAGTTCTAGCGATTGGATTTCACTCAAAACACACCAAATGACTCCCCCCACCATATTATGGTGTTGCCCAAGTTTTGGACCCGATCTGAAATCAATAGGTGTAAGAAATTGGACAATTCAAGTTCAACGGCAGTTCGTTCCTAATTGGAGTGGTTGGTGTATTCCGCACTTCTAGCGATTGGATTTCACTCAAAACGCACCAAATGTCTCCTCCCACCAC